GAGGGGAAGAAAACCGGCCGACTCCGAAAAGATCCCGCCCTGAGGGCCGGCCAAAGACGACCCGAGGGAGATAAAAGGACCTCGGCGGCTTCCCAAACCGGCCCGCGACATCCCTCTTGTCGCCCGAAAACTGAAGTCAATCTGGGTCTGGGGTGGCCGATCCTTGATGGCTAGCCTTCTCTGATTTCCCACAAGCTGAATACCAAACGGAGAAGGGGCGCGATCCTGCACCTGTTCAGCGCCTCCGGGCAGCCTCCTCTCCAGGGAGCGGCCGACGTGGCTGTTGAAACTGAACACCGCTTCCCTTTCAACAAAAGGGCGGCCCTCGACCCCCAAAACGGAAGCGTTTAATTAAACGGATTGTCTCGAGGAGTCAGTCCATCAGAGGAGACGATTCCCCGGAGACGCGGCTAGGGCAGGTAATCAGATTCACACACATACACACCCCGCTTCCCTCGCCACAAATAAATAAACCAAAAGCCTCCCAGTTATTCTTCCAAAATAAGCTTCGGAACCCAAGGTGTGCAGATTGGGTGCGGGTAATGTGGAAGGAAGGAAGGAAGGAAGGAAGGAAGGAAGGAAGGAAAAGAAATAAAACGGAAGACAGAGGAATCAATTTCCTCCTGTCCCTCTTGCTCCTCGGTGTCTAATTTCCTCCTCTCTTCCAGGTTGAAACCTTTCCAACTATAAATTTTGATTTTTGAAAAGAAAGAAGCGGAGAGCGAGAGAATTAGAGGGAAACGCGAAGGCTTCCGGCAGATAAGATCATAATTGACCGGGAAGCATTCATTTGAGCGTGCTTTTTATGGAAAGCTGATGAGAACTATCGGATCCCTCCACAAGCTACTGAAATGGAAAGATCTACAATTCCACTTGCTGACTTGGTTGATGGAGTTTTAACTCTCACCGTTCTGATATTATTTCTACATCACCAAGGGCAAGGATATTTGGAATTTAATCCCGTTATTTCTATTCGGGGAACTATGACCGAAGGAAGGCGTTTCAGATGCTAGAATCTCCGGGGAAAGAGAAGAACTTTTCCTTTTCAAAACTGCATAAATAATATAAGTATATATATTCTACAGGAATATGGAAAAGAAATAAAACCTAGACACATTTGCCTGAAAAATAAAGGCCAGGTTAACTGAATGGTCTCGCAATCGCCACATCCGACACTCCCCCAAAATTGTTCCACCACTTTCAGAAATTTGCCGGTGTGGGAAGGATATAGAGAGTGTGTGTTTTTTGTGGTTTTTGTCGGAGTACGTACACGCTCTGACTAGATATCGTATTTTAAAACCCCATTCTTATCTAAGAGTATAGTATTAAACAGGATCCAAGCCAAGTTCTGTTTTTCCAAGGCAAAGCTTAAAAATTTAAAGAAAAACTTAAAATTGAGCTGGATCCGAACTATTTGTCACCTCCACTTAGGATATTTTAAAATGTTTCCATTCAATAAGACAAGAAGTTTGGATTGGAATAAAAACTTTTTTTAAAAAAAAAAATCTCTGAATAGTATTTTTATTTTGGAGTTCCTAGTTCCCAGGGTCAGAGTGTCTGCAATCCACATCAAAGAGGGGTTTTGTGTTTTTTGTTTTTTTGCACCCTCCCGCGATTTTCCAAGTCTTGCTTGTAGTTCCTTTCTTGGATATTTATTCACAAGTCCCGATTATTATTAATTCTTTTTCCTTGTCAGGACGTCTCATCTCCTAGTAATACTCTGCGAGCGGGGAGGGAGAAACCCTGAGGATCATAACCCTAGCATGTAAAAACAGCTTTAATTTTAGGGTAAAGTTAACACGGTATATTCAAATCTGTCATTTTCTCAGACAGGGGATATTTTTAAATTTTATTTTTTTTAGAAAGCCGCAGTACCTTCACTGAGGCCTAGCTGTATATTTAACTCCGGTGTCGCGCGTACCCAACTTAAATCTTTTGGATCCTTTTAATTTTTTCTTAAGAGTGTCTCTTGCTATATCCTATGGTTGCTGACCCAAACAAAAGAAGAGTCCCAATGAATCGACCGTTGAATGGTAAGGCAACACTTATGTAAATCCCATTGAGTCAACGGGTTTACTCTAGGCGAGACTGCCAAAAGGAGATTAAAGGTTTAGAACGACTTGGCGTCATTATTCAGTCGTGGCCCCTACAATTCGAATTTGCACGAGAAGAGTCTAAACGGCCTGGGTTGGAGGGACACCCCCCCACACACACACGATGGAAACACCGAGGGGCCAATTCAGCCAAAGGACGGTTCGGGGAGGGGCATAGCTCACCAAATGGAGAAAAGCATCTCTTTGCAACTCCACACTGAAAATAAAACAAAAAGCACCCACCCCATCATCATCCGGAAGGAACTCTTCCTGCAGCACCGGCCGTGTAACGTGAAGTTCACCCATATGGGTCTTGTCGCACTAAGGCAAACCATGATTTAGGTTATGATATATCATCTCCCTGTTAGTCCCTCACGAAATCCTTTCTTCTCTTTTCTTCCGGGCTAAGGGGGGGAGGGAAGGGGGGGAGCCATTTCCAAAGAAAAACAAACCAACTTTGTTCACTGCTCTGATTCAACAGAGAGCCGGGGACAAATTGTTATTGTCCCCCCCCCAAAAAAACCTCTCCCCCCCGCAACAATACCGAAGTAGGGCACGCGAATGGCATTCGGTGTAAAGTCTTGACCGCGCTGTTCCGCTCTTGTATCTGAAATACAAAATTCTCTCTTTGGCTTCCTATTTAAAGAGCCGCTTCAAACTGAGCTATCTAAACACGGGAATTGACAGCCCGTAGATCTGAATCTACTGATGCCCGCCAAGGATTGATGACTCCCAGTTCTAACAACAGCAGTAAACTGATACCCCAAACCTACCCTAAATTACACTGTAGACACGAAAAACACCTGAGCTGATTTTTCTGCGAGGAAGAGTGGTATATACAGTACATAATATATACTGTACATCTGTATTTTAGCGGAAGACCACGAATTCTATTTAGCAAAGCAAACACTAGGGCGCAGAATCCTACCTTGTTCCCCAGACTCCAGTCAGTTGATTCTGGGTCTCTCCTGATTTTTAAAAGCATATATTCCAAGCCTGAAGTTTAAATGCCCCTGATCGAACAGAAACGTTGATTCTCCATGATTGTTAATTACGCTGCCTAAGCGGGTATAGTTCCCCTGAATTAAAATCAAAGCAAAACAAAACATAAACCCCAAACCACCCTCCACATTCACACAGCGATTTCATCCGTAGGGTGTTGTAGAGAAAAATAGACGAAATAAGTAAATGAAGATAGACCCAACCAAGGACCTCTTCCAGGCCCAACCGGTAAGGAAAGATAATGGCTCTAACGGTAAACACGACAGACATTATTTCTACAGTGAGATCTATAACATTTCAGCCACAGTCTTTTCCCTTCAGAGACATAGAAAAGATGGATCGACACCTTATTTCTGTGTCCTACAGTGGCTGATGTCCCTCTTGTTGATTTACAGATACTGTACCATGTTCTGTATTCCGGATTTAGCTCTGTCAGCGTGTCTATATTATGCGACAGCCTTTAAACGATGCCCTCTCTGTTTTTTTATCGAGAACATTGTGTGCCATGCGTACAGAGGCAGAGAAATGCATGCTCAGAGAACGGGGGGCCGTTTCTGGTCTTGCCACCCACTCGCGCGCAATCAGATACAGAGAGAAAGGAAAAGAGACTCCCCGAGGGCCAGAGGCAGGCCCGGGCGGAGGAGGCGCGCTACTCACAGCTGAAGTCGGGCATCTTGGGCAGGATCATGCCGGCGGTGGAGGCGCGGAGCCACTGGTCGAGCTGGAAGGTGCCGGCGCCCAGCTTGATGGGGTCGGCGGCCGGGTGCGAAGGCTGGACCTGGGAGTAGGAGTAGGAGAGGGCCGGGTGCTG